ACTGTTAATTACAAAACAGCTATAATCAGGCCCCTGACTGTATGAAGCCAGTAGAGGAGGGATTCACTCTGGGCCAGAGTTGTTGTAATATATGTGTGTAGCAAAGTGTTCCCTGCACTAGCATGAGCGTGATGGAGGTGTAAACACAGAGGCGTCTCTGCATGGCTGCGTGTTTGTATGAACACAGACGTGAGTGGCTCTCGGGTCAGGGTCGCGTGTGAGCAGGCCTGTGTTTTTAACTGATGATCAGAGCTCCTGCAGATGGACGGGGACTGTATGTGAGTGAATAAGTGACCGGCTGGGCCTTTAACACATGGCTGGGGTTTATTAATGAGTCTCAGTACACACGCTGCTCATCTGATGAAAGCACTTGAGCACAAGAGGTCATATCATTATAGTAGAAAACATGCAAAACAAACTTACCAGCATCCAACAAAATGTTTTAGGACAGCCAGTGGCTGGATTAATTTGACGGCGTCCTTGCTAATACAGCTGTTTTCATATTTCATAATGCTTTGAAGAAATATCAATATACAAGCTATGATTCAATTCTGTATACTGGGTTAAACAACTGAAAGGTCATAGTATTTTTCTTATAATACACAAATCAAACATCTAAGACTGCCTTAGAGTTTCACTCAACTGACCGCTGCCAAAAGAACAAGCTGAATAGTGATATATGAAATTATGAAAGGACTTAATAAAGCCGTATTCCCTAGCAGAGTTTTTTTTGTGTGTGCAAGAAAATGTCTTTTTTCCCCCGTGCATGATACCTGAGTTTCACTGGCAAAAAAATAAATAAATAAAAAATCACCAGTAATTATCCTGTAGTTACAGAAGCCTCTTTCCACCTAAGAGTAAAAATAAATAAACAAACAAATAAAAAAGTATTCTCATTATTGTGACTTTGTATCTTGCAATTGCAACTGTCACAGTGTCACTTTATATTTCATAATGTAACAATTTTATTTATTTATTTATTTTTTTTTTTACTTTATCTTAAGCTCACCGTTATTTTCACCATTCACCGTTATTTTCAAGATCTGAGGTAAATGTCTCTCATAGGCTGTCAAAAAGACAAGTCTGACGATTTTAACTAGCTTCAATATTGGTGGAAGGCCTGTATGTAAAGGAGCAGTGTTCTCTTTCTCAAATGTTTCCTGCACCCAGATCTTCCCGTCTATTTGACAGCAAAAATCACGTCATCTGGCTGACTTTTGACATCTCTAGGTTTTTATTAAAACTGCAGATCATTATCCCATGATCTGTTTTTGTATCCCCACCCACAGACATTTGGCAACATGCCCAGTGCATTATGGGTGTTGAAGTTTTCCTACCCTTTTAGACAAAGGGAACACTGCAGCCCGTTTACTCTGTTTTCTCTAGTTAAGTTTCTCTAAATCCTGCCTTTTTACTGCATAGACAGTCAAATTTTAATAAAAGGACAACCCGCCAAATCAAATTAAATAATTTAACATCATACAAAACACATTCAGTACCTGAGCTGTCAGCTGGTCAGATGTCAGCTGATCACGACACAGTCTGATTAATGTGGAAAAAAATACCATTTATCGCATCACAGAGTCACGTCATGGCTGGTTAGGACACGGTAAAAGATGGAAAGGGGCTCCCACATACAATAGCCTAACTTACTAACAAAAACAAATAATTGTTCAGATGATTTCAATTCAGAGTCATATTGTTGTATATGTACATTGTATATACTGTATGTGTCTTTGTTCAAACATATGGGCTCAATAATCAAAAGAAGCACCACTAATAACAGTTTATAATGTAAATCAAATTTAAATATTTTCTAATATACAAAGTGAAAGTGTTAATTTGGATTTGGTCATTACATGCTAACAGCCAGCAGCAGGTGGAGGTGCTGAACAACTGTTAAAGACACAAAGAGTGGTCTCTGAAAAGTATAGGAAGCACTTGCTGTGGAAGTTCAATAGGTCTGATGAGACATCATCGGGCTAATGTTATCTAAACAAGTTGAGTGAAACAAACTGGTGAGGCAGCCCACAGTGAGGGAGGCACTGCCTCCTAAAGATTTAAAGCCAAACACATCGGCAGCCTCTCAGTATGCTGGAAGCTCAGGGTTTGAGCGTCAGATAGTGATCAAAAGAAACACATCTACTCATCTAAACATGACCCCACATAACAAGCCGTGTGTGCAGGGAGTGGACACTTCAGTTATACATCTGACAGCTCGGCTTTCACTAACACTAATAACACGCAGAGGCAGATGTTGAGAGGAGCGTCTGGGTTCTAGAAGAGGGAGAAATGGGGAGAGAGACATTGAAATTTCATCACTTGGGAGGTTTCTCGCAATCTCAAAGTTTAATTAAATTCATAACATTCCACCTATTAAATAAATACTTCTATAGGTGATAAAGCAAATTAAGTGGCCCCTAAATGTCGTTGGCTGTCTATAAAAATCTGGCTAAACAGAGAAAAAAAATAGCAGCATTAATTAATTCTGGGATTAATCAATAAATTCACTTGAAACAGGTTAATAAAAATCTGCATGTCCAATCAATCCACACCACAAAATCAATTTGCCAGATGTAGATCCTAGAGGAGCAACAAACAATCACTCTGAGATGTGAGCAGCAATGCGGTTCTAACAGTTCTTTGACATTATTCATAATAAAACCTTGTCACTCGGTATAATAGCTCAAGTGCATAGGCAATTGAACAAAAGCTGCAATAAACCTTCTTGCCGCCACCGATTTGCCACATAGAGTGTTAAATGCATTGCTAATAGACTGTAAGATGCAACACTTCCTGTGTAATCCTCGGGAGGCCAATTTTAGATTTGGTTTTCAATGGCTTTTGACTAGAAAATAAGAACCTACAAGGCTTAAGGCCTGATTTAGATCAGAGAACGACGCAGCATAGTGACAACCTGGGTCACGTCACCGCAGAGACAGACTGCAGGAAGAAACGGAAAGATAAAAAGAAATATAGATGTAGCGAAGCAAAAAAAAAAAACAAATCTGAGGGAAAACAGTGCAATTGGTAAGATCACTGGGATTTATTTCCAAAGAACAATGACTTGGAATATACAGAAAAGCTCAGCCCAGTCTTTATGATGAATCGCTTGTTGTATTGAGTGAATCGCTTGTTTGAGTGACTTTGGATAAAAGTGTCTTCTAATTGAATAAATGTAAATATAATGCAAATTAGGTAACATGCTTGCAAAGTTACTTGTAGAATGCCTGGACTGTTGAAATAAAGTGTAACTGAAATATTTCTTACTTTAAAAAAAAGCTTATTATATTACATTATTATATAAAAAAAAACTTTTAGAAACAGAGCTATAGACTGTCTTTGAAATAAATGTAATAAAAAGTACAAAAATTAAAGCAAAATTTGGATTATTTATATGGGACAGGCCACATCCATCTTTCTAACCACAGAAGAACATGATTCCGGCCTGCACTGGCCTTTGAGCTCTTCTTTAGTCCCAACTAGCCACACAATGGGCTTCTTTTTTGTTCCTCTTGGACTTTCCTTGCTCCATCACTCCTCCCTTATTCAAATGAGAGTCTGGTCTCGCTCAGCTCCCTCTGCTGATCAGCACTTTGATCATTCCTAACATTTAAAATTAAAATAAAGCTCTAACAACCAGTGCATTAGAATTTAACAGGTGTTCAGGAAGAAGCTGATACAGAATTTCAGATTACACTAGAATACACATCCCAGTCAGCGCAATTATAACGGGGAAACGGAAAGCCCTCTTGACTGTGCTACACCTTGGGATAACTGATCAGATCACTTTGATGTCTGTAGGTAAAACTGTTAAGAAACAAAACAGCAAGGCAGCTGCTACATGTGTTCGGTAAACACAATTTCATATTCAAAGCAATACATTGGAACTCTGCATAAAGCATGCATGGATTATTGTGCATACCCAAAACCATGTGATGTGCTGACTTACTGTGATGCACGTGTGTACAAACACACAGAACACATGGTTACATCTGGCTACACCTACAACATCTCAGATTTGAGACGGACCTACTGTGGAAACCTTGCAATGGTTGTACTTAGTAACTGAACTATTTGCTACTCCTCAAGCTACATTTTCAGCACAATCTACACGACTGCCACAAAACGACATAATTTCCACATTAGGCCATTTTCTACAAAGAAGATAAAGCATGAATGGATACTTTCAGCTTTAACAAACAGATGTGTTCATGAATCTCTAGAATTGCTTTGTGGCAAAATAAAAATAAAAACCTGGAGCTGAGCAATGGAAACAATGAAATACTAAATCTTAAAATGAGCAAATTTCTGTTTCAAATAAACGCTGCTCTTCTGACCTTTATTTTTATTAAAGAATCCTGAAAAAATGTTTGTTTCTTTACAAAAATACTAAGCCGCATGACTGTTTTCAAAATTGATAACAATAAGAAATGTTGCGTGAGCACTAAATCAACATATTAGGATTTCTGAAAGATCATGTGACACTGAAGACTGGAGTAATGAATGCTAAAAATTTAGCTTTGCCATCACAGGAATAAATTACTTTTAGAAAACATTTATTTTAACCTATAACATTTCTCAATATTACTATTTTAGTGGGGTTTTTTGGTAAAATTAATGCAGGCTTGGTGACATAAAAGACTTCTTAAAAAAAAATAAAAACTACAAAAATCTTACCCATGCCATATATACATAACTGATAATAACTGATCTGCTGAGAGGAGCTCTGGCAGTGTTCGAGCAGGGTTAATGCCAAATGCTTTGGAGTTGTCAGACAGCATGAAGTCTTGCAAAAATGAACAAAAACTCCTGGTCATCTCTTCCCATTCATCTCTTACTGAAAGGCATTTAATTTATTATGGATGCGGTTATACAAAGAGGAGAAAAAGGAAATGAACAGTGTGTGGTTTTGCTGAAGTGCTCTTTCAGCTTGCTTTGCATACAAAGGGCACTGAGCATGATGTAAATCTGTCATGGTGCTCCCCACACGGACTCACCTCACAGTGCCCCGTGGCGGCTGTGAAACTCTGCAGCTGTGCCTGGAGTTCTTGGATCTGCTGATCTCTCTGGCTGAGCTGCATGCTGAGGGCTGCTTCCCGCTGGCGGAGCTGTTCCTGGCTGTGCCAAAGGGCTTGGTATGACACGCTCAGCTCGCTGTGGAGCTGTCACAGCAGAAACAGACAGTGAAGGACAAGCTCGGTTAATGCAGTTAAGTCCTTGCTGGAACACAAGTTCACCCCCCAGGGGCACGCGTTCACTCGTGAGGACAGGCGCTAAGTTCACACAACAGATGCGCTCCAGTACCTTCTGGTAGGAGACGGTGTCTGCCGTGTGGGCCTCCTCTTGGCTGCGCAGGACTCTTTGCGTGTCCAGGTTAAGCCCCTCCAGCTGCTGAATGAGCTGGGCCTGTTCTCCTGCATGTTCCACACTCTGCCTGTACAGACACTGCAAGTCCTGGAGCTCGCATCTGGACACGAACATGCACACACATCACGGTCAACTCATATGGTCAGGGTTAATCAAAGCTCAGCCAGATCTGTGTAAGTGCTGCTTACTTGATTTGACAGAGATGTTGTTCTTTGTCAGCTCCTTCCCGTTCTACAGTGGAAAGCTGAAGGGACAAAGCAGTTGAGCGACTCTGAGCCTCTAGCATGTCCTGTCTGCTTCTGAATAGTTCCTCTTCCAAATTCTGCAAGAGAAATTGATTGTTAATTGACACCTGGTTCAATGGCATAAAATACTTTTTTTTTTTTGGTGTAGATCTATTAATTTATTCAAAACGCCATTAAAAATGCAATTCATACATACTGTACTGTACAGGCAGTTACTGTATCTTTCGGTGATGAACATGTTTTTAACTTCTAAAATAAAATTCATTTTGAAGGACAAAGGGCATAATCTTTCATTATTGTATCTTAATAATAATAATAATAAATTAAATCACAAACTCCTTCACTGCTTATTTAAAAGCCTTTTCTCCACTGCATCAAAATCATGTGGTGTGCCTGACAAAGTCATGTGTTTTGTGTAATTTGTGACAAATATGTAGGAAATATGCAGGAATTAAGGGTGTTTGTGAAATGTACATGTATGTAAAAAACAAAAACACGCCCTGGGAATGCACACTTTCTGCATTCCCAGAAAGAATGCTCCCAAAATTCAATAAATTGGGGCAAAAAATGGCCCTGTATAAGTTTTTCTCTTATATTTCTATATGCTATAGGTAAGCATAGTTCTCACGTATCACCACAGTTGCAAATGTGAATTGAATTTATTCAACAGTTCAGTAAATATATGAGTTATGGTAATGTGAGTTACACTTTAGACAGCGCATTGCCAATACTGTCAGTTTTTACTCATTTCGGCAAAGAAAATAGTTCCAAACAAAGCCACAATGGAACTATTGTGCATCTCTGACCAACACACAATGGTGTTTAATTTCTGAATGAATAAGCATTTTTGAACCAATTAACGATTCGATGATCCATTCATAAATACAGTCATTTGCTTTGTTTCTTGAAAAAATCAGCCGTTTAATCAAATCTGTTGAATAAATGACTCAATCATTAAGACTCATTAGTTTTAGTTTCATATTTTAAGGTAACATTTTATGTTTTTAAATTATTTAAATTATTTCAATATTCAAAATATTATTTTTAAAACAGTAATTCCATAGTGTTATTTATGCAGTTGTAATTGCAATGTTAATACATTGAAATGCTGCTTTAGATTCGGCATCTGCCACTTCTACAGTGCAAAAATGGATTTTGTTGATACTTATTTAATTTGATTGGTAACACCCCATAGTGTCTTATTATTCTAATTGCATTCATTGATTAAATGTAAGAATTCGACAATGATGAAGCATACATCTAATAAGGTTTGAAATTGCTCTTATATAAGTAAAATGCCCTTGGAAATCAATTTAAGGAAATAAATACTGCCTCATAATAAAATAGTTTATTTCTGTCACTGCTGTGAGCGAACCACCGCACCACATAATTATGACAATTATGAACAGCTTTGGGAGTCAGCTGTCTCCCAATATGTTCTAATTATCATTATCAACAATCTATTTTGTCAATATCCCACCCCCTAGCAGGAATGGGGGAAATGATAACAGAGCAACATTTTTTATAAATAAATAATTCAAGATATTATTTTAAATAAATAAATGAATAAACAAATAAAAAAGAAAGGCACAAGGAGAAATTGTGATCCTTTTACTTGATCACTTTTAAATATTAGATATAAAATTTTATACAAAATTATTTTTGTATATATATTATTTTATTTTTTTTTTCGAAAATGCTATAAAATATTTAACAAAAGAAACATAAATCCAACATGAATACAAAGAGTGCATTTCTTAAAAAAAAAATACATATGTTTTAAACTAGATTAAAAAATATATATATATTTGTTCTTTTTTTTTTATCATGGATAAACAAACCACCTCAGAGAACTTGACCACAGTAAAAAGGAACAAAGAAAGACAACGGAAGGAAAGTAAAAGATGAGCAACTAAAGCGGGAAGCCTATCAGCAGCATATCACAGGAGCTGATGGAGATAATGAGAAGCAAACAGATGCTGAGCATCAAACGCTCAGGCCAGGGAGAGCACGGGCCAGCCCTCATTAAAAACTAGCCAGTGCTGACAGGGGCATTGAGAGAGACAGAGAGCACAGGAGGAAAGGGGACACAGTCCGAGCACCACTACAGTCTAATTTAATTGGACTAGTTAAGAGTTTAAGGTCCACACGGACGTGCCTCTGCCCTTCCCCATGGAGAGTAATGAACACAAATCTGTATGTAAAGCAGGTAATCACACAGGTGCTTGAGTGACACTCAACCTAAGAGGACACAAGCCCTATTAAACATACACAAATGCTGAACGAGGCCCTATGGAACATGCTAACAACAGCTCCTGCTCTGTCTGTAGTAGGTCATTATAGCCCAAGTCGCTAAGCACCGCGACAGCAGGCAGGACTGATTCGGGGCCACATGTAAAACAGCTCTGGTCACGTTGCACGGGGTACACTCCCGCTGTTGAGTGGGGAAAAGAAAAATTGGGCCCACCATGTTAACCCACCAAGTCATTATTTCGCACCCCCCTGAACATATCTATCAATATTTAACAATTGCGCATTGTGAGACAAGTTCATTTACATGAACCCGCTTAGAAAGCGGCAGAAAAGAAGAAAAAAAAAGAACAGGGTGTGAAGCGGGGGACCTTACCTTGACTCTGGAACTGCTGACAGCCTCTTGGTCCTGCAATCTCTCCAGCTCTGCCTGAGAGGCTGAGTGCTGAGCATCTAATTGCTGCCTGGCTTCCTGTAGGGCATGCCTGCCCTCCTCCTCGCACTCCTGCGCCTGCCTCCTCGCTTCCTGCCGGGGAAAAGAGAGCGAGAGACGGTCGCAGCATTGGGATGAAAGGGCGGCAGAGCGGGCAGGGCCAGAGAGGGAAGTTTGGAGCTTACCTGCGTTGGCAGGGCAAGCCGAAGCCCACGCAGGTAGCCTGGTGCAGGGGCCAGCTTTAGCTCTAATGACAGCTCTAATGAGAATAGATCCACTACAGGCCCATTAGTCCTGCCAGCCTGCCTTTGATGCTGATCTCTCACTCCTTTCTTTTTTGCCCGCACTATCCTTCCCTCCCTTTGCTAAGAGAGACCCTGAAAAGACACATCCTCCCCAGATCTTCACTTTATCAATTAATCATGCCAGTCCCATCAGAAGGTAATTAAGGAGAAGCCACATCACATACACACT